TAAATAGGTAATTTGTGTTAGAATTTTATAGAAACTCTTTTAAAAACTATTTTTATATCAATTAATAAATATTTTTTATATTAATAATTCTTGTCAAATTAGATTTTTTTTTTCTTAAAAAACTCATAATAAATCAATAAATAGGTAATTTTTGTTTGAATTTTATGAAAACTCGTATAAAAGTATTAGGTAATTTGTAATTTGAATTTTATTAGGTAATTTGAAATAATTTTTTAGGTAATATGAATTTTATTAGGTAATATTTTTTTGAATTAATAAATATTTTGTGGTAGAGTTTTAGAGAAATTATTTTATTTATATAAATAAATAAATACTGAAACTCTTTGCACATTTAATAATTGTATAGATAAAAACTATTTTTATATCAGTTAATAAATATTTTTTTATATAAATAAATAAATATCGAAACTCTCTTTATTTTTTTTCCAATAATGGTAATTCGTGTTAGAGTTTTATAGATACTCTTTTAAAACCACTTTTTTAATATAAATTCATAAATAATTTTTTATATTAATAATACTTATCTAATTATATTTCCATTTACTAAAAAACTCATAATAAATAGATAAGTAGGTAATTTGTGTTAAAGTTTTATAGAAAGTCTTTCAATATATATTTATCTATTGTGATAGAGTTTTATATAAATTATTTAATTTTCTTTAAATATATCCTTGTCTACTTAGATTTAATTTTATTAAGAAATTCATAATTATAAAAGCTAATTTGTGGTAGAGTTTTAGAAAAATTATTTTATTTTATATATCAATTAATAAATATTTTTTATATTACAAATTATTGTCTAATTAGATTTTCTTTTATTAAAAAATTCATAATAATAAATAGATAAACATGTTAATTTAAATTTTATTAGTTAGATTTTAGAGTTTTTTTTTTTTTATTTATAAAAACTTTTTCATATCAATTAATAAATATTTTTTATATATAAATAAATAAATACTTAAATAACTGAAACTCTTTGTACATTTAATAATTATATAGATAAAAACTCTTTTTATATCATTTAATAAATATTTTTTATATAAATAAATAAATACTGAAGCTTCTGTATTTTACTCTAAATTTCTAAAATTCTCAATTTCTATACCCCTTTCTTCTTCCTCCATACCTCTACTTATAGGCTTCTTGGATTAATAGGATGCGACATGTGTCCTCTTGATAATGACATAATCATAATTGGGCTGGGCCATTTATATTGTGATAATTACCAATAAAAAATAACTATTATTTTTATATCAATCAATAAATATTTTATTGTGATTGATTTTATTATGTAATTTTTAGAGTTTTATAGAAACTATTTTTATAAAAACTATTAATATGACAAAATTTAATTTATCATCTTCCTAATCCTTTTTCATTGATAAAATGATAAATGATATATATACAATCATATTTAGTGCCGAATTTTTAACAAAAATAACATATCATATCCTAATGTCTCTATATTTGTAATTTTTCTTTTTCATTTTTTTTTCAAATTTTTCAACAATTTATTAAATAAAACATCAAATTATATCCGTATCAATTAATAAATATTTTTTATTAAAAAAATCATAAGATTATGCATAAATAGATTTTCATTTATTAAAAAACTCATAATAAATAGATAAATAGGTAATTTGTGTTAGAGTTTTATAGAAAACCATTTAAAACCCCTTTTTCTATCAATTCATAAATAATTTTTTTATATTAATAATACTTGTCTAATTAGATTTTCTTTTATTAAAAAAACTCATAATAAATAGATAAATAGGTAATTTGTGTTAGAGTTTTATAGAAACTCTTTAAATATATCTTTGTATAGTGTAATAGAGTTTTATTGAAAATAAAATAGTTAATTTGTGATAGTGTTTTATAGAAATTATTTTATTTTCTCTAAATATATTTTTGTCTAATTAGATTTAATTTTATTAAGAAGCTCATAATAAAAGCTAATTTGTGGAAGAGTTTTAGAAAATTTATTTTTTTATATATCAATTAATAAATATTTTTTATTTTAACAATTCTTTTTTATTAAAAAAAACTCATAATAAATAGACAAATATATTTTCTTTTACTAAAAAACTCATAATAAATAGATAAATAGGTAATTTGTGTTAGAATTTTATAAAAACTCTTTTAAAACCTCTTTTTATATAAATTAATAAATATTTTTTTATATTAATAATCTTGTCTAATTAAATTTCATTTTATTAGAAAACTCATAATAAATAGATAAATAGGTAATTTGTGTTAGACTTTTTTAGAAACTCTTTAAATATATCTTTATCTAATGTGATAGAGTTTTATTGAAAATAAAATAGATAATTTATGATAAAGTTTTATAAAAAATATTTTATTTTCTCTAAATATATCCTTGTCTAATTAGATTTAATTTTATTAAGAAACTTATAATAAAAGCTAAATTGTGGAAGAGTTTTAGAAAAATTATTTTATTTTAGATATCAATTAATAAATATTTTTACTTTAATAATTTTTTTTTCTTTTTATTAAAAAACTTATAATTGACGACGGCCGTTCCTATACGCTAAAATAATGTAGTGAATATGTGGTTCAAGAAAAGCCTTTTATGTCAAATTTAAATTTATAAAAACCACTACTAACACTACTACTAACGTAGCAAGAGTGAGTAGGGATCGTCCCAAGGGATTATACGTGTTGGAATTTAATTTCGACTCTAATGGATCACAAGATTGCAAAGAAAGGGTTTGGATTGGTTTGATTAAACTAAGGTGCAATGAAATTAAAATGCAAGTAAAGTAAACTAGTTAGAGATAGAGATTTAAGAGATATGAAGAGAGGTCTTAGGGTGTTGGAATCACCACTAAGCTCATATAATTAATCACTTGCTTTCTATTAATGGAGAATACATTATTGTGAACAAAATGCCACTACCAATTGTAATATTAAGCATGGACCATCAAATTCATTGTATGAATTGTCTACTTAACCAACAAATAAACTAAGTGTAAAACAACCCATCAAATCTAAACATAACCCATTAAACTAGTCACAGTTGTAGCACACATCAATCTAGAGAATCATGGAATTTGCAATAATAAGCTATGGAATATCAAATCAAGCATAGATTGTCTACCTACCTACAAACATGAATTAAATTGTAGAACAACCCATCAATATAAGTATAATCCATCAAATTAATTAACAAGCCCATTCAATGAAAACTCATGCTTAGCCATCACTAAATCTTTAATTAATCACACATAGACATGCAACCAATATAGAGAATCTAATGTAGAGATCAACTCCCAAATAATCACACATAAAACAACATATAATCAAACAGAGAATCAATAGAAAGAATTAATCCACATGAATCATGTAAGAAATAATTCCTAATTTAATCACACATAGACATGTAAACAAACTAGAGAATTAATAGGAAGAATTAAACCATAGAAATCATAGAAATAAACCAAGATTCAGTAAATTCACAAGGCTGGAACACTAATCACAACAATATATATAAATCCCCAAAAATAGAAATACAAGGGTTAAGATTACACAAGACTTAGGGTTCATCCAAGCCCTAAGTTTAGATCTAGCCAATCATGGAGGAGGTAGATGTGGTCATGAAACCCTCAAGGGCAAGCTCCAAACATGGCTCCATCTTCTTCTTCCTCTTCTTATTCTTCTTCTTTGAAGCTATAGAGATATAGAGAGAGTGGATCTAGAGATGGGTTCTTAAGATGTGCCTCCACTTCCCTTTTTCTTCTAACCCTAATCTCTAACTTTTTTAGAGAGAGAAATTAAAATTACAATGTAAAAGTAAAATAATAAAAAGCTTCTTTACAAAATGGGTCACATCCCTTTATATAGAAGGTCCTTTTCTTAGTTACTAAGTCAGGAATATAGCTCCAAAAATATCTAATCCCGTACTATGTGGTAGGTGGGAGTTTTGGGCGCGCGCGGGAATAAGACAACTCGCTATCAGCAAAAGTTCGATTGATCAGACTTTTTCTTCGATCGATCCAACTTTTATTTTCGATCGATCCAACTTTTATTTTCGATCGATCTCAGAAAAAACAATCGATCTCAGAAAAAGTTGGATCGATCCAACTTGGTAGTTTTTCAGCATTAGCCTCATTTTGTTCCAAATCAGCTTCCTTTTGCTCCGAATCCTCACTAGGGAAGCGATGTGTGTACCCAGGGGCAAAAATGAAACTTCCCAATGCACAGTATCTTTTATTTTTTCATTAAAAATAAATACTTTAATTTGAAGGATAGAAGTGTAAATTTACATTGATTTTTTGTGGTCAAACTGTCAATATGGACATTTCTGTAATATTGCTATAACTTCTATCTACATACACAATATAGAAACCTCGTGGGTGATTTGTGTAATTTGCCCTTTCATTTTTATGGAAAGTCCGACTAAATTCCCAAACCATAGAAGAGATTCATGTAATTATGGCAAACCATAAGAGAGGTTTGTATAATTCATCCATATATATATATATATACACACACACACATCCCAAGGTATAAGCAAGTTGTATAGAAATCAAGAAATAGCGTGGGTTTCAGCCAAGGTTGAAAAGCAGGCTCAGCCCAAGAAACCGTTATATGACAGGGCCCCTGTCCAACCCGTGATGGGTAAATATGAATTATATATATGATATTGGAAAAACACTGCAGCACTCAAGAAATTCAAATTAAATGCTAGTTTGAGTTCTTGGGTTGGGTGTGAAGGAATAAGCAACCATTTTTTAATCTATATATCTTCATAGCGAAATTAATACATCCGTTAGATTTCTAAATGATACCACAAACATCATTATGTACTTAATTTATGTATGATTGTTATTTATTTATTTTTCGTAATCTTGTTTATTTTAGTATCTTAAGTTATCGATTTGTTTCCCACCCTAGTTTCAATTGAGGCAACATACTTCATATAAAATCATCATCTCAGTCTTGGTAATGGACTAATTGTTTTGGTAATTGTCTTATTCACTAATGCTTAATTATTATTATTTTTTCTTTCTTCTTCAATGATATTGTCATATAGACTTACTAGAGAAATCATACATATTCTTCTAAATTCGGAGGATATATGCTAACCATATCATCAAAATATAAGATGACAGTTACCCGGAATAAGTGGTCTTCCTAACATGTCGAGTTCACCGTTCTCCATGAAACCGCTTTACAGAAAAATCACTTTTACACAAAATCACCAAATACCTAATTATTGTGTTTGGGAGTATCGAATCGATGCTTTGAATTTAAAATGAAAAAATTTTAGTTTAAAGTTTTAACTAAATTTCTTCCGATTCTAAATCCAAACCGCCAATTCATACTCCCAAACATAGCAAACATGTTTTTAAACCGACAACAATTTTATGATAACTCTACAAATAGTCACCTTTTTGTGACACCCAAAGTTTCTTCATATCACTCAGACCCTCCCAAACTTGACCCATAAAATTCTTCAATATACTTGAACCACGAGCCAGTCTTGTACCACTTGTTGGGTTCTCTTTCGGAATATAGTCATTTGGATTGTTGAAGAAGGAACATTTTGTACTCCGGTTGAAGATGCTACGTCCATAGGTAGATGAGATCATGTCAACAAACAGTGGAAATTGCAATAAAGCAAATAAGGTTACTGGGACACTAGCAAGCAAAATGATTGGAGTTGCTGCGCTTTTTATCTGTTCGCCGATCGCAATATAAAGAGTGACACCAAAAGCAATCATCATGGTGGCAATGGACAAGAAATGAGTGGCAAGACCAATTATCAATCTCTTGGGTAATGCCTTGAGGAAGTCTTCTTCCTCAAAGCGTGAAGTGAGGATACTCAAGAACATTAACACTGCAGTGACAGAAGAGAATAAAGATAATGCATCTGATATAATGAAAACCTTAAAAGAGTTTCTCCCTTGGAATTGGGGCATCCCTGAATTATCTTTAAGACCACCTGGTAATGTGAACGCTGCAGCAAACATAACAGTGACAATAAGAGTGGCCACAATTGTGCATGATGTTGCCGTCTCTCTCATCCATTTTTCTCCTTCTTTGACTAATTCAGAATGTGATTTCGAGAACAATTCTAGAGGAGTTTCGTCATCCTTGTTAGCAAGAACTTGGAATGAAGATGGTACCATCCTCTCGACCTCCTACCACGTATAATTAATCATGAGATCGAAAGAAGTATTAATTAAATTAATAATGAGATAGATTAAGTTTCGAGTACTTCCATTAATCTAGCTAGATAAAAAGAAGTTTGAAAAGTGTGTGTGTATATATATATATATATATATATATATATATATATTGATGAAATATATTGAAAGCTAAGAATAATTAGATTACGCATATATGTACGTACCTTGTACCATTGTAGTTCTCTCTGCACTTTCATAGCTGCACCGGGAGCTTTACTGAATATCTTCCACGACTGTTGTTCTCCTTGTTTTTTTAACTGTTGTTCTTCTTGTTTTTCAAAAGCTTCATTTGAAACAACCAGTGGGTATGCCGCTATGTGTAACATGCTGTTCGAGTCCACAAGAGTTCCAGTGGCTTTGTTTCTTTGTTCAGTATTTAAACCATATAAGAGGTTCCATATTTTCTCTTGACGGAAAGCAAGTGCAATGTGAAATATGGTTCCGCTTTTCTTATTCCCCCATAACAAAGCAGGATTCGACCTCAGCACTTCCTCAACAAATTCCGCATTCCCACATCTGATGGCTACTTTTATCGCCTCAAAGTAAACTTCAACAAAATCAGGATCAAAAGTCCATATTGGGGAACACATCTTGCTAAGTAGTTCATGGGCTTGCATGTTTTTTATCTTCATATTTGATACTTCCTCAATACCTGCAATTCTTATACAATTAAGTAGAAATATTATAAAATAAAAAAAATAATAAAAAAAGTACTCTACTTTAATTCGTACCTATTGCTTTAGCAACATTTGACATTAGTCCTTGTAGAAAATGGAGCACTGTTATACATCATAAGAAACAAAGCATTCAATTAGGTAAAAAGAATATATATATATATATATATATATATATATATGAAAAAAAATTTCAAGTATATGAAAAATATTTGACATGCAAAATTGGGAGAAAGATCGACTAAGCTAGAGATACCCGTTGAATGAACTATATGTTAAAATTAGATTAATGCCATGTTTATTATGCATTTGGGTTTATTCATGTATATGTTATTGTACATGTATCAAGTGGGTACATGTATCAATATATATTGTGTACATGTATCAAGTGGCATGTCTCATGTGTGTGGTTGAGAATTGTCTTGAAAAGTTCAAAGGTTTATGAGAGAATAATATATATAGTATAAGGTATTTGTTGTTAAGATATATCAACACAATAAAGAATTCAATACAATACAGAAAAATATTTGTTTCTTCATTCTTCTCCTCTCTTCAGTTAGAAATTATTTAGTTGGTTGAAACTACAGCCAACATAAGTGGTATCAGAGCTTGATTTCGATCAAGGGCAAATTGGGTGTGAAGCTTATTGACGGGAAAACAAACCCTGAAGAAGATCGATCATGATGGCGACTACAAGAAATCAAAACCAAGGTGCCCATCAATCAGCACTTCCCATTTTTGATGGTGAAAATTATGATTTTTGGTATGTGAAGATGAAGACCATTTTTCTCTCATATGATTTATGGGACAATGTTGAAGATGAGCATGATGGATGAACTGGAGGATACAACAACTTTAACGAATGCCTAAAGACAACAATTGAAGGATCATAAGAAGAAAGATGCAAAAGCTTTAGGCTTGATTCAATAAGGAGTTACTAATACAATCTTTCCCAGAATTATCAATGCTTCTAAAGCAAAGGAGGCATGGGAAATCCTTGAGAAGGAGTATAGATGCAGCACGAAGGTAAGAACTGTAAAAATCTTTGAGAAGAGATTTTGAAAATATGAAGATGAAAGAAATGGAGTTGTTGAAAGATTATTTTTCTAAACTTATGGAGGTGGTAAATCAAATGAAGACCTATGGGGAAAATATTTCTAATCAAAGAATTGTTGAAAAAATTATGATTAGTTTACTGCAAAAATATGGCCCCATTGTTGCTGTTATTGAAAAGACTAAAGAGCTTGAAACCTTGAGTGTTGAAGAATTAATGGGTTCCATAAAAACATTTGAGCAAAGGTTGAGTAGGCGCTCCGAAAAGATAATTGAAAGTGCCTTTCAATCCAAGCTCAATATTAGTTCCAAAAATCAAGAAAAATACCCATCAAGTTTTGATCAATCCAAAGGTGAATCTTCTAGAGTTGGAAGACATGAAAGAGGAAGAGGAAGAAATAATTTTGAGAGAAGTGAAAATATAGAAGCCACTCAACAAAATTGTGGAATTTGCAAGAGAAGTAGCCATGTTGACAAAGATTGTTGGTTTTGGGGAAAACCTCAATGTTTCAATTGCAAGAAATTTAGACACGTTCAAAAAGATTGCTGGTTGAAAACAAATCAGCAAGCTAATTTTTCCGAAAAGCAAGAAAATAAAGCGAGCATGTTTTATGCTTGTCACATGGGCATCGGAACAAAAGGATGATGTGTGGTTTCTTAATAGTGGGTGTAGTAACCACATGACCGGAGATAAAAACATATTCTTGGAGATTGATTCTTCATCAAATTCTAAAGTGAGGATGGGAAATGGTGCCTTGGTCCAAGCAAAGGGAAGAGGTATTATTGCCACAGAGACAAAGAAAGGAAGAAAGCATATTCGGGATGTGTTACTTATTCCGGATTTGGAGCAAAATTTGTTTAAGTGTTGGGCAGCTTATAGAGCATGGGTATTCAATTCATTTTGATGAGGACTCTTGCAAAATTTATGACAAGGGAAGACAAACAAAATCATATTGTGGCAAAAATCAAGATGGGGAAAAATAGAAGCTTTCCTCTCATTTTTCATATTCAAAAAATATGGCCTTGAAGATGGATGTTGTTGATGAGTCATGGCTTTGGCATAGAAGACTTGGGCATTTGAATTTCCAAAGCTTAAAGAATTTACAACAAAATAGCATGGTGTATGGGCTGCCAACAATACAAGAAGTTAAAGAAGTTTGTGAAGGTTGTGCTTTTGGCAAACATTATCGAGAGTCATTTTCGAAAGAGAATGCATGGAGGGCTATAGCACCACTAGAGCTTGTTCATACCGATGTGTGTGGACCGATGACAACACCAACTCATTTGGGTAACACGTATTTTATTATTTTCGTTGATGATTTTTCAAGAATGAAATGGATTTATTTCATGAGATAAAAATCAGATATGTTCTCTATTTTCAAAAAATTTCAAAAGCTTGTTGAAAGGCAAAGTGGCCATCTTATCCAAGTGTTAAGAAGTGATAGAGGTGGACAGTACAACTCAAATGAATTTGAAAAGTTTTGTGAAGATATTGGCTTGGAGAGGCAATTAACGGTTAGGTACACTCCACAACAAAATGGAGTGGCAGAAAGAAAAAAATAGAACAATTATTGAGATGAGAAAATCAATGCTTCAAGAGAAGGGGCTTCCTAAATCATTTTGGGGTGAAGCCGTGTATACGGCTGTTTACTTGATGAATAGGAGTCCAATAAAAGTGGTGTAGAATAAAACTCCATTTGAAACATGGAGTGGAAGGAAGCCATCATTGAATTACTTGAAAGTTTTTGAGTGTATTTGTTTTGCTTATGTTCCAAGAGAAGTGAGGCACAAACGTGATGAAGCTAGTGAAAAATGCATCTATATGGGTTATAGCCCAAAATCAAAGGGCTATAGACTCTTTAACTCGAAGAAGAATAAATTGATTATTTATAGAGATGTTCTCTTTAAGGAAAAAGCTTTTTGGGATTGGAAAGAGAAGAAAGTTCAAGATCAAATCATCACTTTTAATGAAGAATCAAAAAATCAAGAAAATGAAGATGAAGATATTCTTGAAGATCCACAAGAAATGTCTCCAATTGCTAGCTCACAATTAGCCCCAACTTCACCATCAAGTTCAAATTCCTCATCTCCAAGTTCAACTCCAAGAAGAATGAAAAGTCTTCGTGATGTGTATGCAAGTTGCAATTTTTGTGTTGTTGAGCCGAAGAGGTTTGAAAATGCAATTAAAGAAGTGGTAAGGAAGAAATTCAAGAAGAAGAGGAAGAGGATGAGATTCAACTCAATTATTGCAAGACCGAAGACCAAGATGCGGACATCTTCACCAAAGCACTTCCAAAAAATAAGTTTGAATACTTTAGAGAATTGTTGGGTGTCTCAACATGGCATTAAGGGGGAAGTGTTAAAATTAGATTAATATCATGTTCATTATGCATTTGGGTTTATTCATGTATCTGTTATTGTACATGTATTAAGTGGGTACATGTATCAAGTGTGTGGTTGAGAATTGTCTTAAAAAGTTCAAAGGTCAATGAGAGAATAGTATATATAGCGTAAGGGATTTGTTGTTAAGATATATCAACACAACGAAGAATTTAATACAATACAGAAAAATATTTGTTTCTTCATTCTTCTCCTCTCTTCACTTAGAAATTATTTAGTTGGTTAAAACTACAGCCAACACTATACCTTTGAAGCATTTGGAACTGGAAAGAGGAGGAGAACTGGAATCCCCTAATTGATTTTCTAAATCGCTCGTACTCCGCTGAATGCTAACTGGTTGCACATCAATACCTATCAGAGAGAGAATGATAATATCATTTTTAAGGTAGTGTTACTTTGCCGGAGGAGTTGAACAAAATTCCTTCACAATACAATTTGATTGACAAGATATAAATAAGTATATGTCATTCTAAACTTCAGGCTTTAAAATCATTTTTCATTATTTAAATAGAAACACAATATTTCATCCAAGTTATATAGTCGTGAACTGATTAGGACATGCCAGCAGTCTCTACCAGTCCTTTTCAGTTGTTAAAATTAAGATGTATGTACTTACCCAAAAAAAAAAAAAATTAAGATGTATGTACAATTAATTAATACAATATCTATGCATCTAATAAATTAATAAAGTAATGAATAAAGTAATAAAGTTACCGGTCCTTTTCAGTTGTTAAAATTAAGATGTATGTACTTACCCAAAAAAAAAATTAAGATGTATGTACAATTAATTAATACAATATCTATGCATCTAATAAATTAATAAAGTAATGAATAAAGTAATAAAGTAATGTTAGAGAGTACGACAATAGGACATATCCATTAAATTTATATATATAAAAGTAGATGAGCATTTACATACACTTGTAAATCCAGCTTTTAAAGTATCCGAGTTGATTTTTATTTGAAAATGCAGAGACCATCTTTGCCATTCTATTCAAGTTCCCTTCCAAATACCCATGAACCACTCCTTTATTATCATCTTCGCGTTCCCACAACTTCAGTGCCAAATCTGTGGAAGCATGTGCATGCCAATATATAAGAGATCGAGTGAAATATTTATTGCAGATTTTATTGAAGTATATATATATATGTGTGTGTGTGTGTGCATGTATTACATACCATAGTTCTCACTCTTAATAAATTCCGTGACCATAATCTTATTCACAGCACTATCTGGAAGTCGAACAAACAAATATTCCACGTTAAAAAAACACTTTTCTCTGTCCACATGGGTTAAAAAAATGGATTTAAAAATCAATAAATCATTTTCGATGCGTTTAATTAGTTGTACGCATGCATGCAGTACGCACGTACCTAGAAAGAGCGAACCAAGAAATTCACGAATTAACCCATGATCACCATCCTTAATAGAATGACAGTGACGTAGAAAATGGAACATCTGCTCGTTATTGTAAACTGCAGCTAGGGTGAGTGGGATATGTTGATCATCATTTTTTATTGGCAGCCATAAACCAGCATTACTTGCTTTATCAAATAACGCTTTTGCGATTGTTGTGTTCCCACCCCTGGAAGCAACATGAAGTGCTGTGTCACCATAATCATCTTGTATGAATGCAAGGTCACTAACATCTATCCTCTTCAAAATCTCATCCACCAACTCCGCGTGCCCGTGGGAAGCAGCAATGTGAATTGCAGTTTCACTTCTTGTAGAAATCCTAGAGACTCTTGCATATGGATGTTTATCCAGGATTTCTTTCACACTGCTTAAATCACCACTCACCAATGCCCTGTACAGCTTTATATTCACAACTCTATGTTCCCATTGTGTCTCTGAAAGAATAGACCTGCATATATATGCATTTAATTAATTAATTAGAAATTAAATATATGAAATTAATTAACTAGGATGATCATCAACAAGTATATTATATAATATCTTACATGATTGGCTTCGCACGATGCTCCATCTCTGATCTGCATGCATTAATTAATAAATATGTATATATATTTTTCATATTAATCTCAAAATTATATATATATAAAAAATGCATGCTAAACAAACATATAACTAGCCAAGCCATAAAGAAATTAATTAATTAGGATCTCATAATTCTCATTTAGCTAATAAGTCAATAAGTATATATTATGTAGTATCTTACACGATTGGCTTGATAGCAGTCGCCACCTGGGCCACCTCTGATCTGCATATATATATATATATTAATCTCAAAATTACATATAATGCATGGTAAACTATATAACATATACTACTTACCAAAACAAAAATAACTATACAACATATAGTTAGTTAGTCAGTAATTAGTTAATTAGGATCTCACCTAACTAATAAGTCTTAAGAAGTATAATATATATATATATATATAATATCTTACATCACTGGCTCGATAGCGTCCTCCACCCTTGATCTGCATGCATTAATATGTATATGTTTCATTTCAATCTCAAATTTATATCTACAAAATGCATGCTAGACAAGCATATGATTAGCTAGACAAGAATTAAGAGTAAAGTGCATAAAACCCTTCTAAACTATTGCGCATTTGAAAATCGAATTTTTTTATATTTGATTATTTTTTTGGTATCTCAGAACTCTCCTAGGCAAGGGCCCTTTGGACCCACCCTATACTACAAACTGAGAGTGTATCTCCTGGCCCCATAGGATGCACCATTTTAATCCGGGAGTAATAAAGCCCTTTTGAGTTTTGAAGTTCATTAATCTCCCTAGACTACAAATTGCCCCCCTTGAACTATCTTTTCTCTTATTTAAATATTGATTATACCATTTACCTTAACTTTATTATTAGTATCAATTTATCATAGCAACGGGAAAACAAAAATAGAGCTGTAACTATTTTCTAAAATGATTAACTTATTAATAAATATTTTTTATTTATAATAAAATTTATTATACTTAGTTTAAACATAGGGAAAAAAAGGGAAAAACTTTTTTACCATACAAAAAAAAAAATAAGAAACCTTCTTTTTTCGTACAAAATAATTATGAAAAAATAATAAATTACTTAAATAAAAAAAATACTTTATTTTTCATGCAATATATTTATAAAAAAAAAATTACTTAAATTATTTTATAATTTTTTACTTAAGACCTTTATTTGAACAATTGATTTCAAGAATTAAAGATAAATTTATAAATAAATAAAAATAATGGAGAATATGTCATTACATTAGTATAATTTTTTTTCATAATTTATTTTAATAAGAAAGATTGATTAATTAAGTGTAATTCAATAATAAAAAAAATGGCATTATGATTATTTAAGTAAAAAATAGACCAAGTTTGAGGGCATTTTGCTACAAAATGTGATAGTTTATGGTGTATTGTGGACAAAATATAGTTCAAGAGGGTTATTTGTGAATTCAGACATAGTTCAAGGGGTTTTTACACTTTATCCGGAAAATTAATTAATTAGGATCTCGATCATCTAGCTAAAATAAGTCAACAAGTATAATATGTAGTATCTTACATGACTGGCTCGATAACATCCTCCACCTTTGATCTGCATGGATATATATATATATTATTAGATCATTCTCAAAATTATATATATATAATGCAATGATAAGCAAATATATAGTTAGCTAGACAGGAATTAGTGATCTTATCTAGCTAATAAATCAGCAAGTATATATATAGTATCTTACATGACTGGATTGATAGCGTCCTCCATCCTTGATCTGCATGCATTTATAGTTCATGTCAATCTCAAAATTATATATATATATGAAATAAATGGTAAACAAACATATAGCTAGCTAGACAGGAATTAATTAGTAGGATCTCATATCTAGCTACTAAGTTAACAAGTATTATATATAGTATCTTACATGACTGGCTCGATAGCGTCCTCCACCTCTGATCTGCATGCATTAATATACGCACATATTAACATATATATATATATATATATATATATATATATATCAATCTCAAAATTGTATAAATATCGATCAAATGCATGGTAAAAAAACATATAGCTAACTAGATAAGTATTAGACCGGAATTAGTTAAGGATAATACTTCACTCTTGCCCCCATCACGATAAACACTAACGTGTCCCAATAAAAGATTGACACCTCTTTTAAACTTAAAAAAATACAAAACATGCATTATATCTATTTTTTAGGGTTAAACCGACCGATCTATTTTTTTCCTCTCGTTGCTCCCATATGTATATTTCAATCACACATTCATCTACATCTTTCTTTTTCCTTAGCTCCACCCGCCAATCATTCCGCCATAGAATTGAGTGAAAAAAATAATAACTTTCATATATAGCATGCATAAAAAATAGTTGAAGTAGATTTTGAAAACGGAGAAATAGAAATGGATAGTTTAATCTTTTTTAAGGATAGTTTTCTCTCTTAAGAAAATTAAAAATAACAGAAAAAAGTAGGAAAGAATTTTCCATGAGTTGTTCTCTAGAAATATAATTAAAAGAAGATACATTGAAAATTAAGTAATTTTAAAACTATTTCTGGTTTTTTTTATATGATTCTAAAAAACTGCCTGAAACTATTTCAGAATTAAAAGAATTTTTATTATTCTAAAACTTTTAAATCAAAGGCGCATCTCAAATAGAATCTTTCCTTGGGGCTTTTGGTCGGTCACCGTTGAAAACTCATATAAGACCTTAGAGCTCTCACTGGAACGGGTTTGGCAGTCGGAGCTAAGGAAAAAGAAAGATGTGAATGACCATGTGAGTGAGATACATAGATGAAAATAATAATAATAATAATAATAACCATAAAAATGAGATCTGTCCAGTTTAAATATAAAAATGGGTATAACCCATATTTTGTACTTTTTTAAGTTTAAAAGAGGAGACACGTTAATGTGTAGGATACATTCTGTCGAGACATGACTGAAGCACTATCCATTAATTAATTAGGATCTCATCTAGCTAATAAGGGAGAGTATAATATATTATATATGGTATCTTACATGACTGGCTTCACAGCGTCCTTCAGTTTTGATCTGCATGCATTAAATATATATATATATATATATACATATCAGTTCCAAAATGATATATATAAAATGAATGGTACGTAAACAAACATATAGCTAGATACACACGAATGAATTAATTAGTATCTCATGTAGTTAATAAGTGTAACAACTATAACACAGAGTAATATATATATATAGTATATCTTACAAAGTCTCCTTCATACTGAACAGCTAGTACTCTTCGGTCACTTCCGTCCACCTCTGGAATTAAATTAATAACTATACAGTGGGTTTATGTCTAAAATGCACTTGCCTATTATAGTACAGATATATTATTCCTTCCTCTTCCACCACACAAATGAATTAAGCTACGTAGGTCATTTTTCTCACAGCCTTCACAGGCACTCCAAGCATATTTTACATATATATATATATATATATATATATATATATATATATATATATGTCATTTTTCTCACAGCCTTCACAGGCACTCCAAGCATATTATATATATATATATATATATATATATATAATTTGTTTATTAGAATTAAGTAGCTAGCACTATATTATCAATCTCAAACAATCTCATGAAAAACAAATTGAAATTATTCTCAAAATATATGGATGATCCAAAACGTTATTCACGAAATTTGGAACAAATGAGGGGCATCAACCTTTTTTCTGATTACAAGCAATGTTTTATGCCAACTCGTGACCAACTTTCCATTACGCTGTAGAGATATATGCCCAACCAGGCATCAGAAACACACGATTCACACACATCCGTAGGCCCATTTTGATTCTTGTATTTTTGGCCAAATTTTATTTTTTTCATTTTCATTTAGTCATATTTATTATTCACTTTTTGGTGTAATTTTATTTTGATTCAAATTTTATAATCGAACAATACTGAGATTTTGACAATCTGCCCTATGCGTATTCAAACGTCTTTCTCTCTCTATCTTTCACTATCAATTTTCCTTGCATAATGATTGAGAATTCAACCGTCCGATAAATTCGATTAATATTATATGAATAGAGCCTGGTGTCATCATAACGTCAAAAATATTAATGACATCATGATGATGTCAATTCTCACCCGCATAAATAAAATCAGAGTTGTCCGACTCTCAAATTTCAAATCATTATCCATTTCACATTTTTCTTCCACCCTCTACTGTGTTCTACACCTTTCTCGATCTATACCACCCTCAACCAATATTGTAGCATATTTTTATATATTTATTTATATTTTTGGGCATCTTCCGCTACTTTACATGTAAAAATCCCTATATAAGGGATTATTACATATAAATGGTATTAATGATCCATGTTTATCCATTTAATCAAGTCAAAGTCTCGTTATTATATATATGTGTATCATCTTGTATTAAAGGTTAAAACTTTAATTATGATGATTTTATTAGAGATGCTTTATTTATCAGTTTTAAGAGGCTTGATAGAGGGAACTTGCTCGTGGGTCTAACCCGCGATTTATTTTTTAGGTTATTAGAAGTTCCAATCTCGAGGTTGAGGCCGCAGCTAGGAGACTGTCATTCATCTACTCATCTTGTTTACATTTAAGTAGTATTGTTATTTATTGTTAGATGTTATGCTTAAAATGGTGGATTAATAGTTTATGGTTTAAGAATTCTTAACTTATAGGATTCCCAAGTTGTATTTTAGAATTTTAAATTCATGTAATTTATTTTTGTAAATGAGGTTTTATTTTATTAATAGAATTTCGTTCAATAATTTATTCATTTTTTTTATTCTTCTTGTATTCTGTGTTCGTTTAAATACTAAATTATTTTTATATCCCCGGGTCTTCGGGTGTGGGTCTGGTCAACCTACACTTGGAAATTCAGGGGTATCATAGTTGATATGATTATTATATATAAATGGCGCTAATGACTCATATTTACCATTTGATAGAGTCAAAGTATCATAATTTCGAAAAAAATAAAGACATGAAAAAACATTGTTTACCCTCACTGAGGTACCACTTTTAGGCACATAAGTACCACTTTTTTGTACATGCAGGTACCACTTTTCTTTTTGTGTTGCACAAAAAGTGGTACCTGATGCACAAAAAGTTGTACTTCCGTGCACAAAAAGTGATACCTATCTGCCTAAAAGTAGTACCTCAGTGAGGGTTGTGATACCCCTCAAATCCGAGACATAAGTTGATCAAGCCCGAACCCAAGGGAATATCAAACAATTAATATATAAATGAATACATAATATAAAAGATTTAAGAAATAAACAAAGCTGAAAGAATTACTAATATAAAATCCTTAATCATCAATGAACAAAATAATCCAACTCTCCAAAACCTCCAAGAGTACAACTCGGGAATCCATCAAGTGGACCCCTAAATAAAATCCCAACTGAAACTAAAAACAACTGGAAATAAAATCCAAATCCAAAACATGGAGTGAAATCCTACGTCGTCGGTAGATTGAATGATCGTCTCTGCTCAGCTGAACAAGCCCTAAGACTGGAACCGTCCGATACCTGAAAAATATAAGAGTGGGTCAGGCCCATGAACAAGTTCTATTCTAACTGCAATCCATATAGTGACCAGATACGCAGATACACCCTAGATATCTCAACAATAGCTATCTAGTTCATACATATATATATCCACAGTAAGGGACATTCACTGGACTATATAGGGAGTTTCAACCTGAATAAAAGGCAACATGCAAAAACGCACCGAAGTGGACATGAGTACCTAAGCCTAACAGAGTATATCTCAACCTATCATTACCAGCTACGCATCCACTGCATATACGCGCCCTAACCATCAACTCTGAGACTCAAACTCATATCGTGGTACCATAATCATATATTTAAAGTCCGTCCAAAACCAGAATATGTCATTTAATTCTTAGTTGATCTGTGTCAAATTAAATTCAACACACACAGACAAGTAATTTAACACATACTAAGCATGCAAGATTAGATTAATGTCCAATTAAACTCTTAAAGATTATCTAGGTATGCACAGAACACAGGCCAACGGGAGAGAGAAAGAAAAGAACTTGCCTATGTGGTTTTGGAATCAAAACCTTGTCGCCGTCTTCCTAAGCTTTCCGACGACGTCCGTTTACTGTCAACTCAACCTCCTACCATTCACCCTTCCCTCCTCCTAGGTCCGACTTATAAGCCAGCCGAAACCCTCACCGAACTTGCTCTGTTTTTCTCACAATCGCTCTCTGTTTCTCTCTGTATCTTTGGTACGTAAATAGGGTTTTTTCCAACCCTTGTTGCAGACTATAACAGTATACTTATAGGCACACAATAAACCCTAAGTCATTGTTAATCTAAGACAGAAACTCTAATTAAACCCTAGTCGGCCTCAACGTGAATTTTAACAGAAAATTAAACTCTAATTTATTTAATGACTCTAATTTATTACTTAAATTCACCTAGGCATAAATGCAAATAAAATAAATTAATTAATTACACAGTTAAATAAAACAATAACCAAATAAGGCAATTAAACTAATAAAACAATTAATCAAATAAATGCAATTTAATCAAATAAATAATTAAACAATTAAACAATACGCAAATAAGCAAAAAATCACACAAAAATGCAATAAAACAAAAGTTAAAAATGCCGAGACTATCCTTTTAAAATTAGGAGTATTACAAGGGTAAACAGTGCTTTTTCATATCCACGTTAGCATTTTGGTCAACTTTATTTTTTCGAAACTATGAGACACTCCATTAAATGATAAATATGGATTATTAACACCATATATATAATATTATTTTATTCGTTTATCCTAGCTTCTGCACCTTTAGACTTGTTTATTTTTGGACATCTTGGAATACTAGTTATCTAGTTGTCCTTGCACAAAAGGGAAGACGTTCTTCTTTAGAGACAACGCAATATACGTGTCTCGCCTATTGCCAAGCCAATATTTACTTTTCTTTTAAATTCAGCCAATTTTATGTTTATATTTTCATTAATTAATTTGGCTAATTTTATATGATATTATGAATGAATAAGTAGTAGTATTACTCCACCCATTACTTTAGCAACATTTTTCATTATTACCGTTGAGGGCATGAAAAGGAAGATGCGAAAAAATAATGTAGCCCTCGGGAATGAAAGTATACACTGTAAATATATGTAAATGAAACATGACAATGCAGATGATGTGATAGAAATTGAGGTTTAGGACAATGAGGATGATGATTGTGAAGTTGTGGTTCAAATTTTTCTTTCCCTGGATCGTAATGTGACTTGGTTTTGACAAAGAAAATGAAATCAACAAGGTCTAGTTATATCCACTTTGGATATGGCCCGGCGGTTTACTCACTGGACTTTGAAATTTAGCAAACTCAAGGTCTGGGGTTCGAATTTCGCTGGGTGTTCTTTGTGATTAGCCTTCGCTGCCCCTGTAGTGCTTCACCCGGCCCGGGTGGGGAGGTGCCCTTCCGGGTACTCGAGGATTAGTCGGGTTGTTGAAGGGCCCTAAAGGTTCGTGCCATCCCGGACAGCTCGGGTATAAATAAATAAAAAAAAATCCAACAACAAGGTCTAGTTATTTTTTTTTCTAAAAAATAGGGCCTGATATATTTATTTATTTTTTTATCAATCCCGCAAGAGTAGCCTAATGGCAAGACTTTAACATCATATTTTAAAGTTACTTTATTCCTTTAATTGTTTGGTACACACTGAAAAGAGAAAACTGCATCCATCTAGTAATAAACCTATGGGATTAGATAGTCTGATTTTAGATTAAATTGCAGTATTGTTTTCTCTCCTTTCTCTCTCTCCCCTCTCTGCTAGGGTTTATGAGCGCCGCCTTCCCTATTTCCCACCCGAGAGTGTGGTTTTGACGGCGATTCTCACTTCGAGCGTGTGGTTTCGACGGCGATTCTCACTCATCATTATCAAGTTTTAGCGATATAGTGAGGGAGAGAGAGGTTTCGTGAGAGACGCTGAATCGAGTTTCAACATACTCTTCACTAAGTCAAGGTCCTCTGTTCATCAGAGTTTGGAGATGTCTCCAAGATGGTGTGGTTTATATGTGATGGTTTCCCTCTCTTCTCCTTGAGGCTTGGATGATCCAAAAAACTTTTTCCAAAAAGTCCTATTTTATCCTTGAAAATCACTTGTTTTTGAAAAAAAAAAACTATTTGCAACCAAATTGGTCATACTGGGCACATTATGGCAATTTTTTTAAAAAAAACTTCAGAAATTCATATCTTCTTCGTTCTAACTCCAAATCAAGTGATTTTTCAATCAG